TTTTTTTCGCGTTTTGGATTTTTGGATTTTGAATTACCATTAGGTTCTTGATAGAACATGTTTAGCAAGTTTGAACAACTTAAGTTGAAACATGTTCGTGCTCTCACGAATTCGTAATAGTATTTTACTAAGACGCGTTGTACGCACTCATAAACTTGTTAATCAGATTCATTCTCTAGCTAAGAAAATTGAGTTCGCGAATTTTTCAGGGTTTTTAATTGGTACTAACAAGTCTAATCAAATATCTCGATGTCGTGTCGGAGTACACGCTCCCGATCTACTAAGATCACCTTAAATGAGCCAGTAGAACAAACAAGAAAGATCACAGATGTTTTCAAGGTAACATAATTTTTATCAGCATTGCCATACAAAATAAAATCCGTTTCAGGTCACTAGAGGGCGAGGAAAGACACAAAAGAAAATTCTTAGCGATGGGTCTTCTGTGAAATCTTCAAAGATCACGCAAGAAACGATTGTTGATGTGCAGGTTTGTTTGCATATCTTTTTTATATCTGGAAAAATCATGAATGCACCTTAAGTCATCTACAAGCACATTTCCACAAAGCATAGTATCCGAAAGCGCATGTTCTCCTCCAAAAAGAGCGAAGAAGGTGGGGTTTTCAATGGGTTCGTGGCGTTTTCCAAAATTTTTTGTTTAGAATACCGAGCCAACCATAGTTCGTAGTGCGAGAAAAGTGCTTTTTAACATTCCTGTTAGTAATGAAGCAGTCAACCCACCAAAGCATGAGACTGTGGAGGAAAACCAAGATGAAATTCAAACGAACCGAGAAAGTAAACCTGTTCCAGTCGAGAAAGTAAGCGTTTTTATGCTTTTATGCGTTCCTTTACCTTGTTGATTCAGTCCAAATCTGAACCTAAGGCAGAGGAAGTTGAAGCTGTCACTATGATGAAGTGCACTAGTGCTGAAAAGGAAAAGAATGATACAACAAATCCCTTATTGGCGAAAGCTGAAGAGTTAGGGGACAAACTCGCTTCCATTGGTAGGTCATACAAGTTAGCTTTAGATGCTGTTACTCAAAGATTTTGCAGGAACACAAAATAAACTTCGCAGCAAAGTGCGAACTGTAGCTGAACTGCAAGCCATGCTTGCGGAGAAGGCGGGACTCCAAAAATTGCATGAGCAGTCGCAGAAGAACAAATCCAAGCAGGTTTGGCTATTGTTACTTTTACCTTTTTATTGTTTGCACCAATTTTTTTGAATTCGTTGTCTGAAGAATTTACCTTTTGATATAGTAATGGTCCGTTTTTAACTTATTATTGCTGCTGCATGTCATAAGTGTTCCGAACTTCGATACTTTTTGTAAATCTAGGTGGAGGATCATGTGCACCTGCTCAAATCTCCTGTCAAGGCCGTACCAGCTGGTAAAGCTGTGGCCAAAAACAAAACAAGGCATACGAAAGAACGGAGTAAGGTAAGCTACAGTTATAAGCTATTGGTTGTACATCTAAACTAGTACACTTTCAAATATCTGGCAATTTAGCAATACCAGCCCTCCGTGTCCAATGTACCCGAGTATGTGCTTCCTACACATGTCACACCTGCGAAGAAGGAAGCTGTGGAGGAAGATGCGATCGAAGAAAAAAGGTAATGGAATAGTGATCAACTGAACACACTGATTTTTTCGTTCTAGACATGTCTTTGAGTATGGCAAAGCATCACGGCTCATCGAGGAAGTGAAAAATAACTCCACTCTGCCCCTGCCCTTACAGTATGAGCGACTTTTGGAAAGCTTCCAAAGCTGTGATCGGGTATGAAAAATGCTAGAACTTTCTGTGGATTCTTCCCGTTCTTCCAGGTCGTTTCGATATACACAACGCAGGGACGAAGATGTGTTGTTACTGAAATACAAAAGAATGTGGAAAAGAACACCCAGATGTGCGTAGAGCTTTCCTGTGCACCGTCTGTTCAACACATCATTTTAGAAGTTTCACCCGGAAGAATCTGGCTCAAATCGTGCACGTGTATCCAACGAGCTATGACTTACGTCTGGAGAAACGCTGGAATCCATTTGGCGGCGAATCAAAATGTGGAAAATTAGATCTGGTTATGTCTGCTAACCTTACCGATGGTATGTTGGCTACACTAAATTTCTCTGCTTATTTTATCCTATTAGCGATTTTCTATTCGCTAGTTCTTTGACAAGAATCTCTAATTTTTGGCTGCTTGCTTCAATATTCTGGAATTCGACCGATTTTCTTAGCATGGCACCTTTATGGAATACCAAGCAAACACCGCCACATTGTCTGGTCTATCTCTGTTCAGATTTAACGGGATACATGCTACCTGATACACCAGTGAAAGAAGAACACCCGCTACCCGGTGTTACTCCTAGTAAGCTCCTCTCACCTAGGAAGAAAGTTGTGAATATTGTTCCGAGGTGAGTAACAGTTGAATGGCATATCTGTGGTTCAGTGGTCAGGCAATCCAAAAAAATTTTTCTATGTTAAAGCCTATTTGAAGTCATTTTCAGAGATCCTGTTCTTGATGCTAGACCTCGTCTTGAAGGGTGGCGGATGACTTGCCGCAGTCATATATTCCGACACAAACTTGTAGAGATTGCTAAACATTTTCATAAGAAATTTATGGAAAGGATTGGCCGTAAGTTAGAACACTGTACATTCAACAAAGAACTAGTAGGTCTGTTGCAGTATTTATGAGCGAATCTGAATATTCCAAGTTGAGACGATTCCACCCGAAGTTTGACTTGGACACAGAATGTGAGCGAATACCAGAGGTAAAGATTTCACAGGGTATCCTCTTTGCTTTGTATGATTTTGAAACTCTTCTCAGTCCTAGTGAGTTGACACTTAGTCAATCAGTTTCAGGCGGAAATTCCTGACGTACCTCAGGACCACGTTGATCGCCATCTCCAAATGAAAGATTATCTAGCTACAGTGGACAACAGCGTGTCTCTGCCGAGCAGTGTTGATGTACGATGTCGATTTTACTGTCTCTTTTGTGCATTTATTACATACAACATTCTAGGCTGTTTTGGAAGAGCTAAAAAGTCCGGTAAAGAAAGTTATCAGCTCAGCAGCAGCCGTTCCTCTTTCTCCGCGCCAGTTCGCTGAAAAACAAGCATCCAAGCCTAAAGGGGCTATGTCTCTGCTTGAAAGAGTATGTAGCAGCAGCGATAGCCTTATAGCCGATTTCATATAATATTTTATAGATAAAAGCCAAAGAGGAGGCCAAGAAAGCTGCCGAAAGCTTACGCGACCCAGTCATCGATAGGAGGGTTGAGCTCTTGCAACGAATTCTACATGGGCTTCTGCGATGCAT